CTTGTCTCTGGGGGCCACTGTCTCCCTTACACTTGGAAAAATTGAGTCGGTTTCGGGCCCTTAGACGAAAACTACCTCTCGCCGCCTCACCTCTTAAAGCTGGTTACTCCTTGACCCAACAAGGTCTTGCTCACGCCCCATCTTTTCCCTGCTTGCCCCCACTTGGGCTAGCCTCTCAAAGCATCGGGCCACTACCTCTTCAATGAGCCTTTCTTTATTTAAAATTTGAACATCCCGCTTCACTTGGTTATCTCCAAGTGGCTCACGTGCCCCACCAGAAGCCGTCCCATTTGATTTTCCCAAGAGATCCACAAGAGAGGGTCATTTGATGCATGCCACATCAAGGGAAGAAAATCCCTTGCGAAGATTCCCAGGAGACAGGAACTCTTCCTCTTGTCCGTCTACCTCCCCACTTCCGATCAACTCCCCGTCATCCCCATTCGTTGCAATTTCCTTGCCTTTTAACTTCCTCCTTATCTCCTCTGGTACATCCTGCCCAGCCAAAGCTTTCCAGATCCAACTTTGGTTAGCGACAACAGTCTCTGCGCAAGCCATTGGCCTCTTTTTTTTCACAGGTAGGAACTCCAGCCACAGTGTCACTGTCAGCACCTCCTCTCCATCCACAATCTACACCGCGGTTGGTGGATTTCCCTTCCACCTTACTTTAATGCGTATCCATTCAGCTGATTCTTTCGCATGACTAGAGTTGTCCATTTCCACTCTTATTCTTTCCACTGCAAGCTTTTCGTATACCAAGGGACCAGATGAAGGAGCTCTCCTTCGATGTTTCTACTCCCAAAGAGCCAAACTCTCCTAGCTTCTTCAGGACTTGAAAAAATAAACAGGATTCTAGAATATGGCAGCCACTGAAGTCTCAAACCACCTCTTACCCCCCATTTTCTCTGACCCCAGTTCTTTAGCTCGAGCAAAGATTTGGGTTAGTTTACTGCACCAACTAGGCATGCCTTAAGGAAATCTACTCTTCTTTCCTTTTCACAATCTCCAGCCACAATGACAAAACCATCTTTCCCAACCCGCACTTCTGCCTCGCCTTCAGACGTCCAAGTATTCTCCTTAACCGCTTCTGTGAAGGACCTTCTACCTTTCCTGTCCAAAGCGTCTCGCTCTCCCACTCTTCACAAAAAGGGACGACCAGTACCCCTCCTACCTGATCTTTCTGGAGGTGCATTTTTTAAAAAGAAGGCCAAATTGGTGCCTTTTTCCTCATGTTTGTGTCCTATGCCATGATTGCGGTGATTGGTGAGACAACTGAACACCTACTAATTTCCTGCTCTTTTGTGTCTAGTATTTGAGAGTGGCTTTTTTCTTTCTTTGGTTGTAGATGAATTCCTCCTAGTGCGGCAGGCCTTTTTGATGCAAGCTTTTTTAGACAACCGAAGAAAAGGGGAAGAACTCTTTGAAGAGAAACAAGAGCAGCACCTTTGTGGGTGGTTCGGGAAGAAAGAAACAACAAGATCTTTCAAGGGAAAGAAAAGTTAAAGGAGGAACCGATTGACAGCACTACCATCAAGGTAGCACATTGGGTGAAATTTACAGATTTACTTAAAGAGTTCTCAGTTGGTGATATATCCGGGGGATATAATGCAATAGAAGCTTCTTTAAGATATAAACTTGTAGTTCAGGACAGTTGGGCACCTTCTACACTTCAAAGAATTAAGCTGAATTTTGATGGGAGTTCACTTGGCAATCCAAGGCCTTAAAGGGTAGGGGGAGTTCTAAGAGATGGAGATGGAAGACTATTAGCCCAATTCTTGGGGCCAACTAGCATAGGAGAATCACTAAGAGCTGAGGTTTTGGCCCTCCTACATGGGTTGAGATTGTCTAAACAATTGGGCCTCCATTGGATTGAAGTAGAAAGGGACTCAAAATTTGTAATAGGATGGATGCAGGAAGGAGGCTTGGGGGTATGAACATATAGATAAGCTGTAAGAGAAACTTGGTAGCTGACAAGGGAAATTTATGTAAATTTTAATTGGGTTAGAAGGTCAGCCAATGCCTTGGCCGATGGTTTAGCTAAACAAGTCTAAACTATGGCTGACTTCTTTTGGACAGCATTGTCATGGGTGCCTATTTTGTAGGGTTCAGCATTCCTTTTGGGCTGCTTCTTATGTACTTTTAATTAGTAAATTAAAGTTATAGAGAGAGAGGGAGGGAGGCAAGAATTTTCAATGAAAAGGAAAGGAGCCTGGAGGCAGTGGTGGAATGCATGATAGCTAGAATGCTTCATTGGGTAAAGTCTTTACAGTTGTTTTCTTCTTATGCTTAAGATTGTTTGTGGAGGAGATGGGGAGAGGTGGTTGCTTATTCTTCGAGAAAAATTAAAGTCCATAAATAATGGACACCACCTGATGAGGGTTTTATCAAGTTAAACTTCGATGGAAGCAGTATGGAAATCCAGGACCATCGGGTATGGGATGTGTCTTTAGAAAAAAAAGGAGATATCATTGCTTTGTTCTCAGGACCTCTTGGTAAAGGGGACTCCATGAGGGCTGAATTCCTTGCTGTACTCTGAGGACTGCACTGGGCCAAGGAATTGAATATAAACAACTTGATAGTGGAAGGAGTGTCATTGGCTGGTTGGAAAACAGGGAGAAAGCAGTATGGAGTTACAAAATGAAATGAAACAAATAAATTGGCTGACAAGGATTATAAGATTAAAGATATAATGGCGCTGAGAACAGAAGACGGGTTGGCTGACACTCTAGCTATCTAAACAAGGGGAAACCAGAAATCAGCTGTATTAGGCTTGCTTATAACATGTATACTGATGTAGTGATAGGGTAGTAACTCCTACCCTATCTTTGGGATGCTTGTAATGCTTGTAATGCTTGTAATGTTTGTAATTTTCTGATTCATTAATAAAATATTTAGTTAATCATCTAAAAAAAGTGTAGGAGTGCAAATTGACTGTGCAAATCCTGGTTTGCTTTTGCATGAAGTCTCTGGCTTGTTGTAGTGCAGACTTAGGATCAAATTTTTCTACCACCAGGGTTGGGGGGGGGGGGTTATGGGCTACCCCCATTGTGTAGGCTCATGTGGAAAAAAGTCCAAAAAAGTAAAATAGGAAGTAAAATGATTTGGTCCGCAATTTATATGAAAGAGAAATGAGGTGGGAGGAAGGTTATTCATTTGGAGAAGTAAGTTAGGAAGCAAGTTGATGTGGTCCCCAGCCCCCACTCTATATGAGAGAAAATTAAGGTAGGAGGAAGTGGTGTAAAATTTTCATCAGTTTTTTAGATGCAAAATTTGCACTGATAATGGATGCAAATGCGACAAAAAGTGCACATTTTGCATAAGGTAAAAGTACAACTCATGGTCACAAACAGATGGATACAGAACAGAACCAGGTGCAAAATTTGTTTCCAATTCAGATTTGCATTTTTTTGATAATTTCCAATTCAGATTTTCATTGCAAACAAACACAGCTTTATGCCACAGTTGTGGAAAGGGATTTGTGGTTCATTTGATAATGGCTAATGTTTCTGAACTGAATGACTTATTGCTTTGTCTTTTAGTGGATAAAATATTCAAATAACAAAATATTTGGGTATATTAACCTACCTGAGTTCAACTTCAGCCATTAAGGAGCCCCCAACCTCCTTAAAATCTTATTCACTAAAAGAAAAAGGCAATAAGATTTTCAGTTCAGCTATTTCAGTTGTTATAAAACAGCCCCATAGCCTTCATGATATCCATTATTATATCCTGTGTAAGCTTCCTTTATGAATAATCTCTATGTATTCACAGTTTCACACATAGGCTGAAGAAGTGTTCTTCTACACTATAACACATTTCTAGCTTATGCAAATTGCATAGGCCAAAGAAACGTCCTTGTTCATTAATATCACCATAGAAAACAACCACCTGTGGTTGTGGATGATCCGATGATGTAATAGTCAACAAAGTTACAATATGGTCCAAAAGAATTGTTGAGCATCTAAAATCAATTGATTTGGTACTATAGATTAACCAACCCCAAAAAATCTGGCAGTTCACCAAATTGATGCTCAAATTTACAAGTATGTGTGACTTTACATGCTTTTCCTTTTACATGCAGGTTTGAGTAGAAGTATCAAATTGTCAAAATTTTCAATTAGTATCTAGTAATTAAAGGCATTCTACATTCGAGGAGGCAAGTGCAGCATATATTATATTTAGTTCCTTTTCAAGGCAGAGTTTGATATATTTGGTTAAATGTTTTTGTAATTGACAACTTACAAAATTTTATCAGTCACAAATGAGAATTTACAAGTCTAAGATTAGTAGATTAATGCCAGCTATTCTTTGCTTCAATTATAATCTTTTATCATCATCCCTCACTAGCCCTACAACAAGCTGGAGCAGATTGATTTGGTATGGTTCAGATATGTGATTTTAGGTAATATCAAATGGGACAGTGGTCTAATTTGCTTTATACTCTCCCATTGTACAGCTGCTGGTTGTACTTGGGTTTTATTCTGTTTTAATGAAATGATACTTTATCTCTTTTCCAAAAAAAAGTGATTTTAGGTAGTCTACCTGCAATTCTCTCCTTAAATAACATGCTATTTTTTATTTATTTGGTTGTTGTATCCAAAATTGGAATTGTAAGCATTTCTTTGCTTCATAAGTGTTGCAATTTGATTCTGACTTTCAGTGATGAAATTATATTTTAATTGTTACAGATGTAAGATTTAGATCTGTAAGCGCTAGAAATTTAAGTGGTTTTAAAACTAATAATCTTGCATCCCGTATGACAGTTATACTTGATTTTTACAAGTTCTATGTATTGGTAATTAAAATTCCTATATTGTTTCATATATGTGATCTTATAGACTATACATTAATCCAGACAACAAATATTGTAGCGTATGCATGTAGTTATTTGCACTACCCAAGTGTTTACACTTATTATTATTTTCATTGCATTAATCTTATTTTATTGCATAATATGTGCAGATGAGTATGAATCTTATGTCTTGTATTTTATTGTGTTAGGTATGGATCAAGGCAAGCAAGTATGTGTTAATCTCAATGATGAGTTGAATGCCGAAAACCTTAGGGGAGCTAGTGAAGGTTCTTCATCTCAAAGTGTACAGGCTAATGAAATGGTTGAAGCCAATGATCCATCATTTAAATTTAATAATCAGAAGCCACTTTGGGAATTGACTGATGCAGAGATATGGAAAATGCAATTTGATACGGTTCATCATGCAACCAAATTCTATTACGACTATGCACGTGAGATTGGTTTTTGTGTGAGGAAATCTGACAAGTGTGTTTACAAGGGATGTCATGTTTCCCAAAAGTTTGTTTGTTCAGCCCAAGGTGAACGAAGACGTATCAAAGAGAACAGGATAAGAGCACCTAAGAAGTTGACTAGGTTTAATTGCAATGCATCATTTCAGGTGAAATTAGACCGTAAGACGCGGAAATATGTGGTTACATGTTTTGTTAGAGATCATAGTCATGATCTTGCTCCATCTCCTAGCTCTATGTACTTACGTTTGCATGGAAAGGTAACAGATGGTGATGAGGCTCAAGTAGCTACTCTGAGGAATGCAGGGGAGAATCATAATGACACTGATCGAAGAGATTCCATTAGCACTGAGGATGCTGACAGTGCATTACTATATTTGGAATCAAAAGCTTTAAAGGACCCTGGTTATTTTTACAGTCACACAGTTGATGAACGTGGTTACCTTCAAAACTTATTATGGACGGATTCAAAGGCTCGTTTTGATTACTATTGCTTTGGTGATGTGCTGATTTTTGATTCTACATATCGGACTAATGTCTATAGGAAACCTCTTATCGTCTTTTTTGGTATGAACAACCACCATCAAACGGTTATATTTGCTGCTGCCTTACTAGCAGATGAGACTAAGGGCACTTATATGTGGATGTTGAATACATTCTTGAAGGCAATGAATGAACGAAAACCGATTTCTGTTGTCACTGGTTGTGATAAGGCATTGCGAAAAACCATCAAGAATCTTTTGCCAGATGCCCGGCATCGGCTATGTTCTTGTCATATCAGTGGGAATGTAGTGAGTCACTGTGCAAATTTAATTGGTGATTTTAACAGCTGTATGAATATGGAAGGTACCCCCAAGCAGTTTGAGGAGGCTTGGAAGAAAACAATTAATAGATACAATCTAGGTGACCAACAATGGCTCAGTGACCTTTATAGGAAAAGAGACCAGTGGGCAGAAGCTTATCTACGTGGTCATTTTTTTGCTGGTGTGAGGACAACCCAACGGCATGAAAGTGAGAATGCCTATGTGAAGTGTTATTTAACTAGCAGAAAGAACTTAACAGAGTTCTTTCGAAATTTTGAAATTTCTATAATGAACAACCGACAGCGGGAGGTGGAGGCAGATTTTCAATCAAAGATGAAAAAGCCTGTTATAGGTGAACAGTTGAAGATATACAAGGAGCAAATGAGTTCTGTGTACACAAAAGCTTCATTTGAGAAATTTTGTATGATTGCAGATGAGGAAACAAACTTTGTTGTGGATAGTACAGAGTGCTTAAATGACCACCAACGTATACATTTTGTTTGCAAATGGGATATTCCGGAATCCAGATGGAGGGTGTTATTTGATTCTTCAAGCATCGAAGCAAAGTGCTCATGTCTAAAGTTTGAGGAATTAGGATTTCCTTGTGTTCATATGATTGCTGTGTTTAAGGTGGAACACCTTCGCCTCATCCCTGAAAGTTGCATTATGAAACGCTGGACTCTAAATGTGAAAGACAGTATTCATCAAGAGGAGAATATTGCCTCGACCCTTGTTTCCAAGGTTGCATCAACAGGTCGCTTTATTGAGCTATTAAATTCTGCTTATGCTGTCTGTTACGTAGGTGCAAAATCCCATACCACATTCTCCGAGGCCATGGTTGGTTTGAATGCTCTGAAAATGTTCTTGGAAGGAGTGGATGTTGATAGAGGAACAAGATTTCAAAACATTTTTGGAGGTCAGACGGGTGCTAGAAACATAAATAAATGAGGAAGCTTTGGTTCATTACCCATACCCACCTAGTGGAAATCAAGGGTAACAAGTTGGAAGTTGACGGGGATTCCCAAGTTGTAGTAAGATGGATGAATGGAAACAAGAAGGCCCCATGGAAATACATATGTCTTGAGAGAGAGTAATAGAAGAGATAAGAGTGAAAGTGTGATGGATACCATGAGCATTTTTTGGGCTGGCGGCTGCTTTGGCAAAAGAAGAGGCATTAAGGGAGCAATTGTACCGGGGTCAAGTGGTTTAAAGCAGTCATATCTTGTGTTTTTTTTTCAGGTGATTTGCAGAGGCTAACTTTCCTCTAGGGGATTTCATCTTTATGTAATCTGCCTTTACTGAATATTCAGTAGAATTTCTTTTGTTACTCCTCTAAAAATAAAAAAGAAAGACAGGAGCTATTTTTATTTTGATCATGCCCATTTCTATTTGACAGTAGAGAAAACTTGGTTAAAATTAGAAGAAAGTATAGAAGTAATTCACTGATCCCTATTTTCAGCCAAAACAAGGGCAAAGAGTTGAATCATAACAATGAACAAGGGTCACTCTGTCAACCTACAACCTTATACATGATACACACCATGCTAGCAACCCTGTAAGGAATGGCCCTTCCCAAGTAAGGTTTTCAATACAATCCTCAGCAGAGCATAAGTGATTAGATCAATTCAATTGATCATACTAGAAAAGGCACCAAAAAGAAAACCAGCTCAACCAACTTCAGTACTACCTTACCCAACAAAAAGCCACCACAATTACCTCTCTCATCCTCTGCCTCATGATTTCTCATCCTCCTGGGCCATGACCTCTTATTTTATTGGACATACATTCTTTTTTTTTGTATTGCAAAACTGATGTTTGTTAAAATAGTTGTTAAGAGATTTTATATCTGGCTTTACACATTTCAGGGCCACAAGAATCGGATAACTAGCATATCTTGGGACAACAACAGCTAGTTCCAATCTAATCAATCTGCTGTTGGCAACCTCTGAGGTCAAGATTCTAACAAAGAAAAGATAAGATCCTGTGACATCAACTGAAATCTGAGCGACTGATGGCTTTCACAATCCTTAACAGAACTCTATTATCATTGACAATGTTAGATCTGATGATATCTGTTTGTGTTATACAGACACTGACCCTTTTTTTGAAGTTTTGAGGTCTCATATCTCGTCAGAAGCAAGACTGGATCTATTGTTATCTGATTGGTAAAGACAGTGAGAATATCTAAAACCATTATTTTGCTGCCATCTTTACTTTGGAGGTAAAAATATCTCTTCCTCTATGTTTCGTGGTATCCTTATTTCTCTTTTCTTTCTATAAATCTGGACCTTTTTGGACTGTTCTTCATAGCTATTTTTATTGTTAGGCTTCCTTATTCTTTTCTTTTTGTGTCCTTATTCCTCTTTTATTTGAATTATTGTCTTGTCTGATCTCCAAAACGGATGTGATTGGGGATCTCCCTGTTCTTTTTGAAGGGATGAGAGATCCATCATATGGATGGCCGAACTATGCAGGATGGTTGGGCGAAATTTCAAAAATTTCTTTCTCTCCCACGTGGGAATCACATTCCCTATTTTAGAAAACTGCATTTTCAAGGATCAATCTTGAACCTAAACCAGACCAGATTTGAAACTAAAAGGGAGTGGAGGGTTATACCTGATACGAAGTAACAATAACCTCCAATGGAGGTGTTCACGCCCAAGGAAAGTTCCAAAGACTGCTTCCACCGAAGATGACACGGTGCAGGATGAAGCAGAATCAGCAGGATGGCTCTTCAGCAAGAACCTGATTCTTTAGCAAGAATCTGATGGAGGGCTAGTGAGCACGACTTCTGATTATCTTTTCTGCCAAAAGGTAATATCAAGAGCACTTCTTGATCGCTCCCACAGGTGGAGATCGAACTGGTATGGCGGCAAGAGCAGGAGAGAGGGAGACAGTGCAGTCTATCTAACTGTGTTGTCTCTCTCTGAATTTAGCAGTCAGATTGGTTTCTGTTGTTTTCTGAGGATTCGCCCTGCTCTCCTATTTATAGCCTTAAAGAGAGGTTCTCCTAATCCCATTAGGAGTTTCCTAATCCAAATCTTGTATTTGGATCTGSAYTYTCTTTAARAGATAAGGATAATCCCTTATCTTATCTACAGATAAAGATCAGCCCTCCTAATCTRATTAGGAGTTTCYTRATCCAAATCTCTATTTGGATCTGGACTCTCTGAGTGGATAGGGACAATCCCTTATCCTATCTGTTGATCTAAATTCTAGAACCGCCCCTTTTTAATTAATCTCATTAAGTAGTTCGAATTGGGCTTTAGGCCCATTAAGTCTATTTGCTTACTTACCCTCCAAACTGCTGCCCAGTTGGATATCCTTGTATGGCGTGGGACCCAAACATTGATCTACACATCAACCACATGGGTTCAGCCCAGCCTCTGTTACAAGGCCTGGCCGAATTCACTGTAGGAGACAGT